TCAGCTCTACTCGCAGTATGGACGGATACAGGCTCAATCCAGACCACAACACAGACAGACCTAAACTCATGTCCAGCCACAGTATAGACAGAAATTCCTCGCTGAGACTAAGTCCCACCCACAGTGCTAGCAGACGTCCTTCTCAGTGGCTCAGTCCTGAAGACAGTTTAGACAGAAACAAGCTGAGTCCCTCATACGTTCCAGATAGTTCAATCGTGAGGAGACCAGCATCCTTCCACACTGCAAGCAGACCGTTACGGAGACAGGTGTGTTATTATCACTGCTTCTTCTTCTCTTTTGTTATCTTCACACAGTTTTTATTTATATTTTACCAAGACATGACGAGGTTTGTATCTTCTATGTGTGTTTGTGTGCACGTCTTGTGTCTGCAGGAGGCCGTGCGCTCTGACTCTCTGGATCAGAGTGGTTCAGCTGACGATCTGGCAGAGTCTCACCCCACTGTGGCCGCTGTGTCTTCCACACCACCACGCCAGCGATCGTCCAGTGTACACACACTGAAATATACACACCCCCAGAGGGTCATCTCATGCAGGAGCCACAGCCGGAGCCCCAGTGAAACCACTGGGCAAGAAGACGTACCTGAGCAGGCCATCTGCGCTTCGCAGCCAGAAACAGGTGTCGAGACGAGGCCCGTCAGCCTGCAGAGGCTATCCAGTCTGAAGGTCCCCAGCGGTGAATCCGTCTTATCGGACCCGGGCCCCGAGTTGGACGACGCAGACGAGGAAGTCAGTCGTATTACCAGTTCTGTTGAGGCACACTCACACACACAGCTCCCTCCCAGCTCCTCACACAAAAGCAGACACCTTACCCCGAGCCCCGTGGAGCACAGGAGCCGCCCTAGTCAATCAGTGTCTCCGGTGTCGGGCAGGAACAGGAAGCAGAGAATGAGCCCGCCGCCAGGAGAGGAGCCGGTCACTATGGCTACGCAGCTGATGGACAGCAGTGTTGAGCTGAGAAGGCGGACTCTGTCATTTGATGCCACAACCATCTCTCAACCTGAGGAGAGTTCTGTGGACGACTAAAAGAACACAATGTCGGTGGATTGGTTATTCTGTTAAAGTGGAGGAATCTGATGTGCACACAAGAGGGGCGGGAGCCGCAATCCTAAAGCAGGAAGGATACCTGTTTTAGGACCTGCTCCTCACCTCGTCCCATCCAATCACAAGATTTTCACCGGGTGTTCGAGAAGAAATCCTTCGGACTGTGTGTGTACGAGTGTGTATGTGTTCAAAGACTCTTACCCGTTGTGCTATTTGCACACAAGATGCACACAAGAAGATGTTTCCTTTACTTCTATCATAGTCCTAGCTTTAGTTCAGACATAGTAGTCACTCCCCTGCTATATTTACTCAAACATTAACCTTCAGCTTGCTTGCTGTCTTCCCTCTGCCCTCACTCTCGTCCTTTTCCTTGCACCTCAAGCCTAGGTCAGAGGACAAGACAAATTGACCCATAAGTGCAGCACAGGATAAGTTACTGACTGATCTACTCATGTACAGACATCATGACAAAGAGATAACACAACGTTTATATTAGTTATTGAGTAATTTGCAGTTTATTTTCTTGATAAATCAGTTAATTTCTTGGTCTATAAAACATTAGAAAGATTTTCAATTCACGATGATGTTAAAAAAGGAAAAGCCTAAAATCTCCACATACGAGAGTCTTGAACCATCAAACCATGATGATTGATTAATTGTCAAAACAACTGCTGTCTCTGTTCTGAGTCGAACCGTTTTTCCAGTTTGAAGGACAGCATCTCATCCAGTCTTATAATAACTTTTTTATTTGCCAGAACTGTTTGCTTTTCAAAGATTCCTTATTATCATTCTCTGTGGTGCAGAAATTACAGTTTGTTTACAAATGAAATAGATTTTTAAGTGACGAATTCACAAAAGTTAAAGCTGGCAAAGACTTTTATATATAAATGCTTAATTTGTAAATGCACGCTTATGTAGATTGATGCAGGCACATTTTGTTCGAGAAAAAAAACCAAATTGTACAGCAGCTCGTTATAAGTGGAGCAAAATGAGAATGTTATGTCTAACAGAGTGAAAGTTTTTGTTTTTACATGTCACAAATTTTTTCCTACCTCTTAAACCTACAGTAAACTGCCACTGGAAGTTGCTTGATCATTCTCAGATTGCAGTATTTTCCTGGTCAAATCAAACATCTTTTTGATGTTTGAAAAACCTTCCCCGGCCTGAATTCAATCATCCCTGACAGTTGGTAAAAATCAATTTGCGCTTAGAGCCTCCAAGTTGAAATGATGTAGTGTGACCTTGGCTTTAGTAGTTTCTACCTCTCTTTATTCCTGATCCCTCCCAATCGAATGTTCAGTCAGCTTGGTTTCTCACCCATCCAACTTTCCTTTTCTGTGTCTTGGTATTCTCAGGGTAGAGGTAGGTCACACGCAGGTGAGTATGAAGCATGTGTTCACAGGTCTGCAGAGTGAGATTGCCCCCTGCTGTCTGAAGCCAGAGCTGGCCCGTCTCACCTGACGTTTGAAGAGAGTTATTGTTCGTGTGCGGGGTCAGAAGCAGGTGTACAGAAGGGCTTATTCAGGTGATATAACGGTGTGTAAAACTTTGTAGAAAAAGCAAAGATTATATTTTATTAACACAGCAGCGATGATATGAGAACTATAATGGTGAATTTCTACATTTTTGAATGTCAATTTATCTGCTGGTGATGATTGATGATGATGTCAGTATAAGAGGATGTTGATGATGATAACGATGATAATGATGACTCTGGGTGATGCAGTTCATGATATTGTAAAATGTTCCTGCAGAAAGAAAGCAGGGAATGATATACAGTAAACTCACCTGCAGTAACATGATTGGACAGTGCTGGAATAAAACCACTTCCTGTCTGACTTTCATTTGACTCCATAACCTTTCTTTTAAAACTGTCCTGACCCTCTTTATAAAGATATTTAAAAAAATCTAAAAACTATTGGGTGGTAAACTGGGTGTTTTAAAATGTATTAAAAGGTAATAAATCAATTTAGCAACAATTAATGCACGTAAACACCATTTTATGAGGTATTACATTTTTGTATATTTATCCAAAGAGGTAGAATGCTAAAGTTTGCGTGAATTTAATCTTTAGGCATGTGCGTAGTTTCTGCGTAGTTTATTTTAGGAATCCTGCTAGATTTGACGTCATCTGAAAAGGACAACCCTTAGCTTGCTCACAAGAAGAAGGGCTTGCAGGCTACACGACACACCCATTTCACTACACGACACAACTCGCCCCCCGAGATAACGTCCAGGATTATCGTACTTATTTTAACCGTGACCCGCTTCCTAAACCTAACCAAGTAGTTGTTGTGCCTAAACCTATCCAAGGACTTTTCTGCCGAATTTAACCAAATTTCATATCGGCGTATCATATAGTCGGTGAGTCCTGTTGTTGACATGTCTTCAATTCGCCTACTTATAGTGTCATTTGACAGAGGTATATTTTTCAGTTTATCCGCTGCGGATTGATCCAACAAACACCGCTTCAGTTTTGACGGCTTCACGCTTTCTTGTGCCAGAACCTCGCTGCACAAAACACACTGAGGTTTTTGCCCTCTTTTGTCCTCAATGTAAGAAAATCCATATCTCATGTAGTCGGTGTCGTACTTGCATTTCACCATGCTCAATTAGCATATGAAAACAAACTTTGTGGGTGTTCTTCTATACCAGGGGTATTCAAGTATTTTTTCGACATACTGTACTATGACTTTTTCAACATACTTTACTATGACTTTTTCCGACATACTATACTATGACTTTTTCAACATACTTTACTATGACTTTTTCCGACATACTTGACTTTGACTTTTTTCGACATACTATACTATGACTTTTTTCGACATACTATACTATGACTTTTTTCGACATACTATACTTTGACTTTTTTCGACATACTATACTATGACTTTTTTCGACATACTATACTATGACTTTTTTCGACATACTATACTATGACTTTTTCGACATACTTTACTATGACTTTTTTTGACATACTTTACTATGACTATGACATTTTAACAAACTCAACTAAGACTAAAACTCAACTTTCTTACTTTTTTTGACATGATATAATATGACTTTTTTGACATACTATACTACAATTGTTTTGGCATAGTATACTATGGCTTTTTTGACATTACTTTTTTCGACATACAATAATATGACTTTTTTATTGTTTTCAACATACTTTACTTTGACTTCTCTCGACATACTATACTATGACTTTTTCAACATACTATGACTTTTTCTTTTAAATTTTTCTATATACTGCACTGACTTTTTATTTTACTTTTCTTGACACACTCTACTGTAACTCTTTGCCTGTACTATACTAAGTCTTTTATTGACTTTTTAAAGATACTATACTGAGATTTTGACTTATTTGACATACTATGCTATGACTTATTTGACATACTATACAATTACTTTTGTAACATACTATAGTATTAATTTTCTCAACTTTTTTCAACATACAATACTTTTATGACATAATTTACCATACATTTTTTCAACATACTATACTATCACTATTTTCTTTCTTTTTTGACATACTATTCTATAATTGTTTATTCGACATACTATACTATGACTTTTTTCGACATACAATAATATGACTTTTTTTTTACTGTTTTCAACATACTGTATTTTGACTTCTCTCAACATACTATACCATGACTTTTTCCAAAATACTATGACTTTGTTTAAACCATTTTTCGACATACTCTACTATGACTTTTTTCTTGGCTTTTTTAACACAATATACTATGAGTAAGAAAGTCGACAAAAACTTACAGTAAAGTATGTCAAAAAAGTCATAGAGTGACATTCATTTTTTACGCAAGCTTTAGTATGGCATACTTTAGTATGGCATACTTTATCAATTTTGTTTATCACACACATACAGCGGGTTGTTGAACGTAACCGGGTAAAACCCTGTGTAGGCCCCTTGACATTATTCGTTTAATCCAAAAATAAAGTCAACATACAGTACAGCTGTTGCCTGCTGCTGCTAATAAATTCAAGCACACTTTCTAATTATAGTCCTCCAGTAGATGTTGATTAATATGCATAACACATCGTTGGATCTAGCTCTCAATACATACTTTTACTAAAAGAAGTTTCTCACATTGCAAGAAGCAAAACGTTTAAAGTTAATGTGAACAAAAATACTTTCACAGCTCTGATAGTGGTGGCAGATAGATTTTATTTTTCATATTTCACTTTACCACTTCAGCATATCACAATAAAATATTTAATCACATGAATATTTCACACTGAAACACTATAGAATTCAGAATGCATTAAGCTATCCTGCCTTTGCTTTCTTGCCAAGAGAAATGTAACAATTTCTGCCAACCCCGCACTAGTTTCCTTGCAATCTATTGGTCAAGCTGCCATTCAGTCTCAATTTCACCTGATCGGAGGCCACATCTCTGCAGGGCAGCTTGTGATGGGTCAGACTGACTGAGGGCAAACAGAAGCAGATAAACAACGCTCCAGGGTCCTTCATATTTTCTTCACTAAAGACCTTGTATCCCTTTATAAGGCAGATGGAGCATCATGACAGATCTATATCTATGTTATTCTGCATCTCTCCATACAAACATGCAGTCAGGGTGCATGTGTCTGTGCTTCCAGGTGTGTGTGTGTATATATATATATATATACACACAGAAATGTGTTACATAAATGCGTTTCCACTTGTACACATATATATCCAGGTGTGAGTGAATACAGCTGTCTTTGCGTGCATCAATGTGTGTGTGTATGTGTGTGTGTGCAGAAGATGACAATTCTTGACACAGAGTTTCTACTAACTAAGCTGAGCCAGCAGTTGCCATGGTGAAAACAGATCATACATCCTCACATGACCCAAAAAGCCCACCAATCCCAGGAGAGGATTGAAAGCCACTAATCAGCGAGGCAGGACATTGTCTGTGCCCGCGTCGAACACAGTGTATTTCAACACACACCTCTTTCTGTCTGTCTCTAGAAGGCAGGAGCCACAGGTCTCTGCTGTGTGAGTTTCTGCGGGTCCAGGGTTTCAGTGAAAGGAGGCGCTTGATAGGGGTTGGTGGTTACTATGGTAGCTCCGTTTGCGATGGGGTACGGTGTAGCTCTAGCACTGCCGAGGGGAGGATCCAGGTGTTGCCATGTGAACAAGTTTGTGTTGCTGCCAGTTAGGAAGCGCCGCAGTGCACTCAGCGTCAGTACAACCTGTTAGTAACACACACACACACACACACACACACACACACACACACACACACACACACACACACAAACAAACACGCATTAACAGAGGCTGTTACTTACAAACTGATTTGCATTGAAGCCACTGTTACAGCACTTATTCTCAGCAAGACGAAGAATCTAGAGCCATGTGGGGAACAGCAGTTCTTTGAGCTAAATGCTAACATCAGTCCTAACATGCTCTCAATGACAATGCCAACATGTTGTTAAGAAGGTATAATGTTTACCAGGTTCACCATCTTAGTTTAGTTTGTTAGCATGGTAACATTCGCCAATTAGCCTTAAACACAAAGTGCAGTTGGAGCTAATGACAATGACATTACATTTGGAGGTATTTGGTCATAAACCAAAGTATTGGATGAATGGAAACTTTGATCTGATTATGGCCTTAGATGAAAAGTCAGGGCATCAACAGAATCAGTGGGATTCATCCTACAGAGATTATGAATTTCTGAACAAATTTTATGGCAATCCATCCAATAGCTGTTGAGATATTTTTGTCTGCTATCACAGAAATCAAAAATGTATGCAACCCATGATCCAGGGATTCCCAAAACATACATTTTTTGGAACCTTTTGAGGATTTGGTTCTGGGTCCACTGTATACAGCATTTACAAACTTGAAGTGTGGAAATACAAAAAAGCTGGTCAGTAGCCAAAAATAGAATCCAGCGTGTCTAATCACTTAGCGTTTTTGCAATATTCTTCACAAGACCCAATGTGATCCTTAACTTTTCTTTAATCTTAGTTTAATCCTTCTAACCTTTTTCCCTGCACTGTTTGGCTGTGTGTTGCAATCACATTTCTGCCAGACTCAAAGAAATCTAATGGTGCACCCTTTCGTTGTTAATCTCTGACTCCAGCTGTTTATGAACAGGGTTCTACATTTTTGGTCTTTTTTCTAGCATGATTGTCCTATTTAATACAAAGTTCAATGGTGGTTCATGTTATTGTGTTCGTTGTCCTTGTTGTGATGTAAGAACACACATGCACTGACGGCAACTTCTGAGGGTTCCTAGAACTGGAGCATTTATTATAATCTCCTGAGTAGTGCCTGAATTGAGTTCCAGGAACTCATCCCCAAAGGCAACAAAACAGTAGAAACAAAAGCAGATACCATGATGATGTTTACAAGTTACATTACATTTTAGCAAGTTACTGCAGTGGAAAAGAGCTATTAACTTGGAAATGTGCACAGTTTAGTTAAAAGTGCTGTCACTGTGATGATTGAAGATTGGAACAGAAGGTCACTTGTTCTTTAAAGAAAAGTTTACAGATTTAGTATTATACTTTCATAAAGTTGGAGGACAGAGAAGAGATCAAGGTAGCAGAGGCCAAGATATCTCGACTTTTGGTCCTTAGTGTGTTAAGATAATGCAGCTTGAGAGCATCTTACTGTACACTACTACTGCTATGCTTCGTAAATCGCCCTCTCTAAAACTCCATTCTAAGGCAGATTGTTGCTAAAGGTCAGCAGATGAAACAACCCTAATGCAACACAGGTAATTTCCTCAGTTGTTAGGAAGCCAGAAGACATTAGAAACGAGGGTCTAAGGATAGAGGATGTTGTATGCTGTACAGACTGTAAAGTGTGATGTAGGGCTGTATAAATACCATTGACTTGACCTGACTTTATTTAACAGTTTTCACATGCTAAGTTGAACTTCTCATGACAGTAAACCACCTTTAATGTGTAAAATCAGAAGGCTTCCCCTTAGAGTCCAGAGCCACAGTCACAAGAGCATTCGGCTCTGTGTCACATGCTATGAATCCTCTCTGAAGAATGTTGGAACCAATTACCACAGAACTATTGGAGATAAATGATGTAGCAAGCTGAAAAAGGGGTCTTTTGCTACATACTGTACATATTTGACACAGTTACAGCTTAACCTCTTTACACCCTCTGACAGTGAGAAAAATGGCTGCTTTTAGTTTGGCGATGAAATTGTTTTAGCATTGCCCGTTGAGTTGTCAATGGATAATAAATCTGCCGGTCTCTGTCTGTTCTCTGGCATTGCAAATGTTTTTATTTAGGTTTCGCTGAGAGCAGCTTCCTTTCAAGAACACTCTGTTCACATCCCCACATGTACATTCACACCTCGAAACTGTCCAGTGGAGCCGCAGTCTGAACTGTTGGCTACTGAGCAACTTAACTGATCAGTTGGGGGCTAAGATCCCTGCTCAAGGGCACCTTAATGGTTGCAAAGAAGGACTTGCAAGCACTGCTCTTTCACTTTCCCCACCGACATTTATCCCTGCTTGTCAGTGGATCGAACTCAAAAAAAACTCTGACCTTTGGGCCACCAATCTGTAGTTTAAATGAGTGATTCGAAGCAAACTGTACACTGTTTGTTTAACACATAAGAACAGTGGATCAAAGCATCGAGCATCGTTATGATTAATACTGGAAAACCCCTACTCTGAATCCGCCAATTCTACTACTCAACTAGTATCCATAAGGGAAACCCGAACCTACATAACCTTCCTCAATATACAAGTGTGTGTGTGTGTGTGTGTGTGTGTGTGTGTTAGACTAGAGCGAGGGTGGGAAGGCTCTTTGGTAAGAGGCTTTGCTTGTCCTCCATGAAGGAAATGTTCTTAAATCTGTTCATTGCCAGCAAACACTGATAACCCTGAAATACACACACATACAAACAAACAAGATGATGATAATGATGATGATGATGATGATGATGATGATGATGAACACACACACACATGAATGTACACAAAAAGGACAGGTTTTAGACAAACAGGTATAAACATACGCACCCAGGTTAGGATGGAGAAGAAGCAGAAAGCGATGGTGGCTCTGGCAGCGTCTGAGCCCTGGGCCAATGGCAGCTCGTCTGCTGAGGTAGCCTGCCACTGATTGGCCAGAAAACAGAAGCCAACGAACCACAGGAAGCTTGCAAGACCTGGAGGCGGGACACAGAAAAAAAGGTAATGTGCAGCACCAATCTCTCGCGCATACCTGTGTACAACACTGTAACATTGCAGCTGATAAATAGTTAATTTGAACTATATTTTTTGGGCAGCGTGTAAATTATCTTCCAGGGGATCAATCAAGTTTTACCTCAATTTATAATATTATATCCTAATTTATTTGTAGATTATATTGTGTATCATTAATCGGACTCTGCAAAGTAACTACTTACTAAAGTTGTCAAATGAATTTAGTTCAGTAAAAAATAAAAAATTTTGCCACTGAAATGTCGTGGAGTAGAAGTATAAAGATACCAGAAAATAGAAAATACTCAAGTCAAGTACAAGTACCTCAAAATTGTACTGAAGTACAGTAAGTGAGTAAATGCACTTAGTTATTTTCCACCAGTGTATCTGTGTGTATATTATGTACCAGAGAAGCCGAGGTCCAGCATTACAGCCCGTCTTCTGTCCTTGACGCTGCTGATGGAGGGGAAGTAAATGTCCAGGATCAGGAAAAAGATGCTGCCCACAAAACAGGCCACGCCCACGGTAACGCCATAGTTACAGGCATCAGCGTTGTTGTTAAAGACGCAGAGCAAACGCTCGCTGCCGATGTTGATGTAGCCCTCGTTCACGATGCAGCTGAACACCACCATGGAGAAAACCTGCAGGGGAAGACAAGACAAGTGAGCGGTTTTATTATTGTAACAGGTAGAAGAGAATGAACTCACACTGGTGTTTGAATGCCTTTCATTCCTCATACATACCACACACAGACACACCAGTACAAACAGCTTCTGTTCGAGTGTGTGTGCTGTGGATTAGGTTGTTATAAAATAGTCATCCAGTTTGGTGAACTGGGGATCAAGCAAGATTTCTTAAAGGGTCAGTGCACCCAAATTACAAAACATTCTCCACTTGTTCTTACTGGTACAGGCATGCAGACAGTTTCAGTTTTATTTGCAAACATTTTGAGATATCCTCAAGTAACATTGTTTCTGTGAGGCCTCATTGCATTTTGAGTTTTTTAAATGTACAACAACAAAAAAAAGGGGGCCTCAATGCCGAATGCCCTACCCTCAAGTTAGTCAAGTCGTAATTTGATAAAATGCTGATTCAGATTAAGAACTATGAAGACATTGGGCTTTTTGGAAATTGTGATGGACATTTTCCACTCTTTTTTTGTGGACTAATTGAGAACATAATTGGAATTTTAATTGATAATGTACACAACTGTTAGTTTTAGCCCTACTTGCCATTTCGGAAACAAAAAGCGGAACATATTAACAAATACATTTGCAGAGATGAAATTATCACAATAATATTTGCCAAGCAGTGAACTTTGGGTCTTTGAGCAGTTGCCCACTTGAGCAGTTGTCATTTACCTCGGTTGTATTTGGTTGATAGCAGAAGTATCAGTGTCGGATGTCTCAATGTCTCATTAAATAAAACATCTCACAAACCTCAATCGGCAAGTGTTTTGCAATTTGGGTGAACAGATTCTTTTAGAAATATGACTATTTAATCCCTTTAAGAACTGGATGCCATGAATCAGACACCAACCTAACTGCACAATATGACAATGAAAGACAAAAACATTTTGATTTAACAATCTTTAGATATCTCTGTTAGAGCTGAAATGATTAGTCAAGTAATTGATTGAAAATAATCTATTTTATAAACCGATTAATCTTTTTAGATGTTATTCAACCAAAAACTGCTAAACATTTCTTGGTTCCTGCCTCTCACTTGTGAGTATTTGCTGCTTTTCTTTGTTGATTTAGGGCATTTTTTACTCTTTTCTCACATGTTGTAGTCAAACAATCAATCAATAGAGAAAACCATTCCCATTAATAATTGATCATGAAAATAATGGCTCTTCACAGCCCCTATCTCTACAGCAATTCATTTTAATGTATTTTTATTATTTATTGTACTGATCTGATCCAAGTTGTATCGGTTTGGGTTTGCTTTATTTTACTTTGTTTCATTTAAGGAGCACTGGCACGTTGGTAATGACAAATAATGTTGAACTGCATTAAATTATGAAAACAGAGACTGAAAGAAAGAGACGGGTTATTATGGGCTTCTGTTAACTTGCTATGCCTCCTTTAAAACCAAATTGTTCCTTCAACGCACATGCTGTATGGTGACTCACAGCTGCACAGCATCGCACCAGAGAGACAGAAAGAGAGGTGTTACATTCTGGTTAGGGGGCATCAACATCCAAAGCGCTATCTAGACACAAAGAGGCTCCAGATAAATATATGGTAATCACACGCTGGTCCTCGAGCTCCTGCCACAAGCTGCATCTCTGAAATCATTTCTATTTATTAGACCGAGCTGCACAACAGATATCTAATTCAAAGGTATTGAGCCTTTTACAAAACATTAAAAAAATGTATGAATCCCGACAAAAAAGACACAAAGGCAAAGCGCGAGAGACACAAACAATGTGGATGGGAGAGAGACAGTGGGGGGGGGGTGGGGGGGTGCAGGTAGGCCTGTCCATTGATGTTAACCCACACGTTGCAGAGGAGGCTTACTCACCCACGACATCAGTCTGAGGATGGTCCGGGGATGCGTGAAGAAGGCGACCGGATCGAAGGGGATGCTGCCGGCCTTCCTGGCGCCGTACGCTCCCGCTGGCTCCATCCTTCCGGCAATGTGCAGCCTGACGCCCGCCGAGAGAACGAGAGGAGACGGTCAGAGAGCTGCGCGGAGCGGCGGCGTCCTCCTCCAGCCTCCGTGTGAAGTCACACCGCGTCACTGCGAGCGGATCAGAGCTGCACCGCAGAATTTCAACTCTCAATTAACATTGCGTTAGTATGACGCGTTCAACCTTTTTTAGATGTTAGGCTGATGAAGAGGAATATTTTTTTTGTCCAAAAACAACGTATAAAACAAACCTATAATTTCCCATATCAGGCTTTTGTTATTTGTTAGCGATATTTCTATTTTTTGATAGATGATGATACAACCATGTGTTATCGTTTGACAAACTAACGTGTTTAACCAACAGATGTTAAGCAACATTATGATTAAAAGAGACTCAAGTTTTTATTTTTAAACACGCAAAGAGTTTTGACCAATGGCATATCAGCAGGGCTGTAACCAGGTGATAAGCTGTTGAATTAAAAATGTCTTTAAATTTCCTCTACATGAACATTTAAATTCTGTTTCAAAGACACATTGTAAGGAACAATTCACTCTGGTAGAGGGAATCTTTTTAATTCATTATTTCAGGGCCTGAAAGTTATTAAATTCAAATATATAATATCTAAAAATGCTGGCTACAAGGACAACACTAGTTAGAAGGATCAGTGTTGGTTTTGGTCTCTAGGATTTGGTAACTAAAACAAAAATATAGATTAACATTTAGCATAAACGCTGAACATTAACAAATTCCTGCTTTTATGTGTTTTGTGTATTATATGTTTTTAGTGTGTTGTTTTATATGATCATTTTAAAGTTGAGTTAAGTGTCTTGGAGAATTATGAAAATAACTATATGAATATAATTTTGTATTATTATCAATCAGTTTGATAATAGTCCTTTACTGTTTTTTAATGGGACCAAGATATGAGCAGCACATTTGTCAGCACTCTGGTGGACAAACACGGAACAGTCTAAAGTACATTGCATCTTTGCCATTTCTGTGCTGCTAATTTTCGTTACTTATTGGCCGATTGGCAAATACGATATATCCGAAGATAAAATCGTCCGATAAAATCAACCATGGTGATGTGTCGGTCAAGCTCTATATTTGATATCATTAATCTACAGTTCTGTCAAGAACCTTTTTACTTGAATAAATAAAAAGTCATGTAACCATCTGAGTATTTAACCAAAGACATTTTATTGGATTTGATTAGAGAGTTAATGACAGCTTGGTTGAGATAAAACCAGATCTGTGTTTAGAGAGTACTGACTAAAAGGTATGACACACACACACACACACACACACACACACACACACA